TTTAATACATATACAATTTTCATTTAGATTATATTTTATACATAGAGATTTGCTAATTTTTACCTGTCGTATTTTTGAATTTTGTTGTACAATTTCTTGTTCATTTTTAAAATTTTCTTCAGCTTCTGCTAATTCTGCTTCACATCTAGTTTCTAATTCCATTAATTGGAATTCAAGATCTTCATGTTTTTTCTTTGTTTCTTCAATCGTTTCTTTTTTTCTACAAATTAATATTCAAAAAACAAGAAAGGCTTAATATAAGAAAATGAATGTAATTTAACACTCATACTTAAGTATTTTATCTAATAAACCATCATCATGATGAGATGAATTCGACTTTACAGCTTGTCTTGACAATCGATCGATATCAGTTGCAATATTGTCATGAGTTTTTTTACTTGTCATTTTTGCTTCACTGGCCATTTGCGTTCTTGCCGCTATCATTTCAGCTGCCTCTGCTTTTGGCTCATGATTGTGTTCGCCGATCGATAAAACGACACTGTCGTTAATTGTATGTATTCTTCCTCTGCACTGCCCATGACGTTTTCGATCACAGCACCATGTTGTTTTATCACCCGATGTTTTATCAACAATATAAGCATATCCAGCGTGAATAAAGATTGATTTACTTTTAGTGGTTTCCATGTCTGTATTCTTTACGGTGAAATCGCGATGTGACTATATTGATAAGTTGATAGCTAGTATCAACGAAAATAAGAGAAATTGAATTATTACACGTGTGTCTATAGATCTATCCTTCCTCGTGTTTCTTCATCTTCAGCTATACAGCAACTAAAGTGGAGGCAAAAAGTTTAGCAACAAGCTTGTTTTTGTTCTTTCTCGTGAACGCTAGTAGCTACAATAAATCTGAGGATAGGTTCGTACAGCGCTGACTTCGATGTCGGTATATGTATTATTCAATAAAGGACGGGGGTCGATAAGAGGCAAAATCGGCCCCCTCTCAGATCAAGCTCATATTCACAAGTCTGATGTAGTTTTTCTTCGTGATTAAAACTAGCATCTCAAAAAAACCATTTTCAGCCCCCCTG